GGAGTTTTCCATTGTGTACCAAGGAAAGCTAAGGAACCCTGGAGGAAACAAATCGCAGATTTCTGAAATAAACGTGGCGGTGAAAGTATTCAAGCATCCATTTGATGACCCGAATTCAAGATTATTTCTGAACGAAGAGGTAAAAATTAGGTAAGTATATATTTTCTACTCTACAACTCATCACAACGTTAAACCAAAGGCACGATAAAGTCCGCACAAGAATGTGCTCGGGAAAATTTTAATTGGAATTCGATAATCAGGTTTATGCCTAGTTAACATAACATAACAGGCTTAAGGCACAAAATAATGCGTGATTAAACATGAAAATTTTAACAAACACAACTGCATGAAAGAGCAAGTGCAGCTGACCTACGGCAAGTCTAGAAACAAAGTTTCTAATCCATTAAAGACGTGGACAGGAAGCCCCTAATTCATTAGAAAACATTTCTTAATTTCAAAGTTTTGTACTAGTTACCTTAACGAAAAAATCTTTTGCTTGAAATTTGAAGGGCATTTTTTTTGCAAAGCTGGCGCGTGCTCCCCTTAATTTCGTTACCTCGTTAGTAGAGTTAAACCTTTTATCGCGTTTAAAATCCTTTTAACTTCAGAAGATCATGCTATATATTATTATATGGTTATATGTTATGGAATTTATCTCATAATATATATTTTACTTTAGAGATTTGAAACATAAAAACGTTACCAAGTATTTTGGGTCGGCCAGAATGAGCATCTGTCTTTCATCCAAAAAGTACAGGTTCATTTTCGTTATGAAAGCCTGCGGAGAAAACCTCAGAAGTGTAATTTTCAGAAACCGAAATCTGACACCAGCGAAATCCGAAAACACCAAACTGGCAATTGGTAAATTCTTTAACTGGGCGATGGACATAGCGGATGGTTTAAATTACATTCACGAGAGAGGACTTATTCACAGACATCTCAAGCTGGAAAATATTTTGGTTAGCAATAACTGCATAATACTGCATTTCATACAGTTTAGGGCCTGTGTATAAACCATAACTTCTCGTTATGTACGTTATATTAGAAACTGGGCTCAAAATGTAGCTCGATACAGTTTTCAGAAATTTAGGTGCTTAACACTCTGCCTTTGAACCAAACCGTTTACAAATTATTGAACTCTACTGTATAAATAACTATAACCCCCAAATCACCTCGTATATTGGGAAAGAAAGAATGGTGACCCCAAAAAACTGCCCGGTAATTAAGGCTCTAAGACCCGGTAAGATATAGACTATCTATCTTTAGAAAATTTCAAAGTCAATATTTTTTATCTACAGGAAGATGAGGATGGGACAGCGATGATATCCGATGTTGGGATTGTGGGTCAATTTGTAGAAACAGAGAAAAGCATAATATATCTTGCACCAGAAGTACTCGAGAACCTCGCGAATCGTACGAAAGAGGCGGATATGTATAGTTATGGTCTTGTGTTGTGGGAGATGTGGTATGGTACCCAAGCGTTCACAGAACTCATGCCCATCGACCGAGCCGCATTCAAAAAAAAGATAGCTGATAATTATCGCCCAAAGATGAACAAGACAACCATCAACATTCCAATAGTTCAAGCTATAATGACCTTGTGTTGGGCGACCAAGGTAAAGGACAGGTATTCCGCCAGAGAGTGCTATGACAAATTTGAGAACATAAAGAACGGTATTGAAGACACTGCGATGTAACCTTTTGTGCTGGAGAATCTGCACAAATTATTGTGATTTTATAGAGGACGCATGTTACAAATTTAAAAAGGAAACATTCTTAACGTTATAATCGTTGTCTTATGATCATGTGCTGTCCAGTGGCGGATCCAGCTTTAGATAAAATAAATTATTGCAGGCACAATTTTATATTCAAAGTACGGCCTATTAATAAATAGATGCAATTGGTTATGAACTTCTAAAGAACTGAAATTTACGAATACATTGCATGGGATTTACTCTAAAGGCTTTTTGTTAATATATCAATTTGTTAGGTGTTATAACCTATTTTGACTATACCCTACCCCCATAATCCACTGATGTTGCTTTATTAAAAAATCTTATAATCGTCTGTTAATCTGTTAATCATATACTTTTGTTTGTGGAAGCATAAACCGTTATAATACATAATTTTTATTTTATTCTTTTATAACTTTATAAGAATAACAATATAGCTAAGTACAAAAAGGTCTTACAAACCATGCACAGTAACATTTCTTTCTTTACAATTTTCTCTATATGAGACGTGCAAAGGGTATAGCTTTAAGTTGCAAGTATAATAAAAATATTTTAGTTAAGCCAAAAATAAATATTGGTTAATAATGAAATGAAATGAAAATATTGAAATGAAGTTGAGTGCACCTAAAATACGAACTATTTGAAACGTTTTCTCCCTGTAGCTTCAAAATCAGGAATCAACAGTTAAAATTTAAGCCTGGAACGCTGGTTTATATTTTTAGCGACCACATGCGGAGTATTTTGTGATTAAGACAAACTGCGAGTTAGAAGAATTACAGAACAGATACGTTATAAATAATAAATATTAAGGTCCTTAATAAGCAAGTAGGAAGAGTACGCGATGACGACGTGGTTGAAACATTAAAATGAATGCTTTGGGAAAGAGTTGTGGTACATTGTCTATTGTACGAATTTAATTTCAGCAAGTATATATAATAACTCTCCACAACACATGCAGACGTAATTAACGAGTACAAAAACAGTCGCTGTGGTGTATTATATAGGTAGCCTATAGCAACACAGCTGTGAACTTATTCAACAGCATACCTCAAACCATACAGCGTTTTTGAGCTACGCTATGGGAGACAAAACTAACCACTGCTTTTAATGTTGAGGTTATCTAAATCCTTACAAATGTTTCCAAATATCATACATGCGTGGATAAATATAGGTATGTATACACAATGCTATAGGTAAAAAAATATCGTCGGCAATACTGACGGTATATTGACAACACTCTTGGTATATTATAAACAGTATCAACAGTATGGTATAACTTCAAGTCGGGTATCAACTCTTATATATATATAAGCGATGATGTAAAGCCTTAAACGGTCGGTTAGCTCCTTGTAAAACGACATACCAAGCTCGTACTTGTCAAAGTCAAAGTCAAAATAACAATGCATTCTTACAGCAAACACTGAATAAGCAAAATATAGACACCTACCACTTCAAAGATTATAAACTACGAGTCGTTCCTATTTCACCAACTGTTTCTGTGCTGTGATGATCTTTAAATCTTTTATTATTGTTTTAATATTTGACTCAATGATTTCATTTTATATTTTTAAAAAATAGTTTGCAAAATGACGGTTAAAATGCTGACACTTTCATGCATGCTAACTTTTTTGTCTTAGCCAATCAGCAAGTGGTAGACGACCGTCTTTTCTTCGTTAAAATTTCGCGCATACGCACAACTACCATGACCATTGAACGTCCATGACATTTGGGCAACTTTAGACATGCCTATGTTCTGTCAGAATACCCGGGTGTAATTCCTAATCTCCGGGCGGGATTAGTACCCTCGCACGGCGCTTGGCGCCGGCTCGGGGAATAAATGAACTAGTATATACTATATTTTGTGTTTTTAACATCTTTATTGATTTTCAAGAAATCGATTGTATATTTCACGAAAACCATAGGCAACACTGTATTAAATATAACAATCCGTGTCCCAGAAACAAACCAGCGAGTCTGCGACCCGCGAAAGATAGTGTTTGCAAGAGTATTCCCCTGTGAATAACACGAGGGAATGCTTGAGTTGATCTATGGAATTTAAAAGTGGCGTCCAGCCGGGCAGTAAAAATCAAACTTGAATACTATGTAGCTCATAGAACTATTTAGCTCATACAAATATTAATGTATCAAATACAACAAAATAAATATATACGCTCACCATTCCAAAATAAACAGCAAGTGAACCAGCAGACAGATAGCATTGGTTGGTGTTATCAAGTCCGTAAGTACAACCATACATTACAATTCAAGGTTGAATGCTACGGCTATGTTTTAACATATCCATTATATATCCGTGGCAGCATCTTTTGACAAATCCGCATCAAATATGGTATAACGACCACCTAAAACGTACCGTAACAATTCTCGGCTTAATTTTCCTGACGAGGGCTTTTGTTCGAAACGACGAGAAGTGTTTTTGTCGGTTTTAGGCAGTTATTATTCCACCTTTGATGTGAAGTAACCGGCTATGCATGGTTTTAAAATCAACCCAGTTTCACAGACTTTAATCATGTCGAATAATCCGTCTGACTGGACGGGCTTGTGTGGCAGAAACTTCTTAGCTCTTCAGGTGATAAATGATGACAGTGGTTATTTTGTTAACTTACATATAGTGTAATTTGATACTTCCTATTTAGTGTGACTATGTTACAGTCAGTGGTTACAGTAGTGCTATTTACAAAGATGAAAATTAGCATGCATTAAGATTAAGTTCTAGTGTTCGAATTATTTGTTTCTCTTTGGCCTCTCTTATTAGTCTATAGTGTTGATACACTTATAGATCGGCATAATGTTAAAGTTGCCTTTGCTACATTTAGATAGGTGTTCACTGACGGTTAAATGTCGATATTCTTCGTGTCTAATATGCTGCTTATGCAAAGTTACTCTGTTTCTAAGGTTTTCAGTCGTTCCCACATAGAAACTATTGCAATTTGGGCATGTTATGATTTAGGCCAGTTTTAGACGCCGTGCTTTTCATGTGCCGAACTTATTAGTAATTTGGTTCGACTTCATTCATTTGGAACGGCATCCGATTTACAGGGCGAACTTATTTAGGCGTGCGAAATTATTTTTGCTGAGTTTTGTGAACGTAATAAGGGTCAGCGGTGTACATGCTAGCGCGAGAAATCAAATTTGAAGAAATAAAAAAATAAGAATGGCGAGTTTTCCAGGCGATTTCCATTAAAAACATTTGCTATTTGGAAACTGATTGAAAGCAATCGAAGGAGAAGAATGCGTTTGCTTAATATGATGTATTTTCTTGTCATGAGGAAGAATATGTTGTTAAATATTCTTCTATCACTGATGTGGCTAATGCAGGCAAACTCGAAAGTTCCAATTCGAAGACATCGAACATGTCGGAGATTTTTTCGAAATCCTGGCTGGTGGCAAACGGTATGGGATACATACAGTGACGCAAGATTTAAAAAGACCCTGCGAATTTCGCGGAAGACATTTCAGCACATCTTACCACCAATCAGAAGCAGACTAGAACGGCAGAACATTAACGAGGAACCTGTAACTCCTGAAGAAAGACTTGCAATTTGTTTATATCGCCTCGGTAGGGGAGATTACTATCATACGATATCACAAATATCCGGCCTTGGGGTTTCTACGGAGCGTAATATCGTTTGTGAAGTTTTTTTAGCAATCGTGGAGTGTCCGTGGAGTTCAGAAGTGGCTAAACATTTGCCAACAAGTAAAGAAATGTTCAAAAACAAATTGGTTGAAATGGAGGGGTTTTGGCAGTTTCCGTTTTGTTGGGCTGCTGTAGACGGATGCCATATTCCGATTAAATGCCCGCCTGGTGGACTTGAATCTTGCAAGGAGTATCAAAACTTCAAAAACTTTTATTCGGTGGTATTAATGGCATTCGTTGATGCAAGGTATCGTTTTATATGGGCCAGTTGCGGTTTTCCTGGGAACTCCCATGATGCCGTCATCTTACAGTCTACAGACTTGTGGCAACAAATAGCAGAAGGTGTATTCTTTCCGCAAATTGGAAAGAGAGTCATGAATAGAACTTTACCACCACTTGTGCTTGGAGACTCAGCCTTTCCTTTACAGTCGTGGCTCATGAAGCCCTACACAGATGCCGTTCTAACAGAAGAGCAAAGGTATTTCAACTACAGGCTCAGTCGAGCACGCATGGTCACAGAAGGCGCTTATGGGCGATTGAAGGGCCGATGGCGTGTTCTCCTGCGTAAATGTGAAAGTAGTGCTCATGAGGTTAAAATCGCAACCCTCGCGTGTATTGTTTTGCATAATGCTTGCATTGAATATGGAGATGCCATATCCAAGAAATGTGATCTGTCCATTGACCCGGTCACAAATCAAAAGCGAGACAGAGAAACAGTGCGCGAGATGCTTAAAATGAGGTCGTGCAGAAAACTAAAGGACAATTCAGTAGATCAGGGAAGCAAAAACCGGGAAGCTCTTAAAAACATGTTTTACAATGAGAAGAACAAAGCATAGTTACCTTACTCAAAACCAAGAACAAAAGTTATGATGCAAAATACGAACAAATATCTACATAATTAAATTAGCCTTTCACACGCAGGCATTTTTGGGGTACTGCCTTCTCAATACAAGGGATTCCATGCAGTGAAATGTTTGACTTTATATAGGTATAGCTGTAAGAGTAATAATGGTGCATTGATTTACAGTTAAACATTTGAAATACTGCTTAAAAGAGTTTAATGTCAGTTACAGGAAAATATGCCAAATATAGTGAATCAAGATCTTCCTGGAAAGGCTAATTAACTAACTTGTTAAAGTTACTTTAAAGTGCCTATATCACTCGTGGGATCTTTATGCATTTGAAAAGAACGTAAAAAGTTAATTAATGTATTAAAAAACATTTTTTGATTTAGTGCAATAATTTCAAAAATACAAGCCTCTAAACTACCTGGGGTTCCTGAGTCCCAACCTCCTGGGTTTAAACACGGCTATTCAATTTGAAACTGCCCATTGTTTACAGGAGCCTGGGACTCAGGAATTGCAGGTAGTTTAAAGGCTAGTAACTTCAAAATTATTGCACTAAATCAAAAACCTTTTTTAATATATTAACTAACTTTTTACATACTTTTCAAATGCATAAAGCTTCCACGAGTGATATAGACACTTTAAAAGTGTTATAAAAATAGTTCAGATAAGTTTCTGTTGTAATAAACATTAAAACTCAACAAGCACATGCTAACACAGTATATATGTTAATTCAATTCTTTTATAGAGTATGGTACTGCATTGTACTATCATGAACATTTTCAATATTTTCGTCTGGACGTTGATCATTCTGTGGTGATGTGTGGAAATAAGAGACATGCAATGGTTGATTGAAAATAGAGCTACCTGAATAGCTACTTGCCCATGTATTTTGATGAGGACTAATTGGGGGCTGGTACTGAGGACCATGTAAGCCCTGCCGAGGATCAGTTGAAGGCTGTTGGGTTTGATTATTGCTTGACCCAAGTTACATTTGGAAAAGTTTTAATTCATGCTGTCGTGACTGTTCAAACACTTTTTTTTATTAGCTGAAGCATGCTATCAGTTTTGTCATTTTCCAGTGTTTTCTTAATCAGGTCATGTGTGGACTGCAGAATATCTACTTTCTTAGCCTTCTTGGCTCTAACAGGGACAAACCACTTGGCTGTTTCACTATTATGGCCTGATTCATCTAATTTTGATCCACTTTCAATGGAAGAAGCTGATGGTTCTATAGCCTGTTCTGGTTGACATGAGTCTCTCGTTTTAACAAGTTGAAAGAGTACCTTAAACCAATTACCATAACCTTTATCTTCCTGAAATCACTTCTGTGATTCCGTGTGACAGTGTGATCACGGGATGGAGAGGGTACCGTTTAGGTTCCATATCTGATGGACGTACGCATGATTGAAAATGACAGTAAAGACTACGCATCGCCAACCTCGTTCGCTTCGCCGTGCTGCCGTCTCCATCCCTATCGATCCGCAGCGGGCATAACTAGTTAGGTTACTATAGTTATAGTATTCGCTAAGCCTCGCCTAGCCTCGTTGGGCCTTATCTGAGTATATTAATTTTGTCCCCGGTGATTATATGAGGGCATGTGCCGCAACGAGGTTTATTGCCTTCGTCACAGTTGGCGTGGCGTTGGACGTTGAAAATTCCGCTTTCGTTAAAATTCCTTTTAAGTTTTTCGGTTGCCGTCTGCTTACAATAAGATTTGTTTTCTCCATTGTACTCCTTAATTCGTCTGACAAATTTAAAACTTTTACTATTTCCTTTACTTTCCCAATAATGCTAGGGTTTTTGGATTGTGTGTTACCACTAGAGGTAATATTCTGCCTTCGGGTTCCTTCGACGTACGCTTCCAAGCGTTGTCATATTTAAAAGATACTTGGACGACTGCTTTCTATTTTGGGGCAAAACGCGAGAGGAACTTGATGAACTACACACACTTTTGAACGACCTTCATCCGAAACTCAGATTTACAATGGAAGTATATGAGTCACAACTACATTTTCTAAATATCTTACTATATGTAAAGACGAAAGAACAATCTACACAGATATCTACTACAAAGGAACAGACTCCCACCAGTACTTCGACTTCAACTCCTGCCATCCCAAACACTGTAAGACCAACATCCCCTACACATCAGCTACACGAATTTACACGATTGTCGCCATGCAACCATGACATTCGCTCGACAACCATGAACAACGCTTGGAAGAACTTAGAATATTTCTCGTACGTCGAAACTATCCGACAACCTTAATTAACTCAAGCTTCAAAAAAGCGAAAGGCCAAAGTATCGAGGAGTTAAGAACACCGAAGGCGAAAGAACCCGAAGGCAGAATATTACCTCTAGTGGTAACACACAATCCAAATAACCCTAGCATTATTGGGAAAGTAAAGGAAATAGTAAAAGTTTTAAATTTGTCAGACAAATTAAAGAGTACGATGGAGAAAACTAATCTTATTGTAAGCAGACGACAACCGAAAAACTTAAAAGGAATTTTAACGAAAGCGGAATTTTCAACGTCCAACGCCACGCCAACTGTGACAAAGTGCAACAAAACTCGTTGCGGCACATGCCCTCAGATACGGGGACAAAATTAAACTGAAGAATGAAAAAACGTGGACGGTAAAATATGATATGAACTGTAAGTCTAAATAAGTTATTTACATCATTTAACATGCCCAAATTGCAATAGTTTCTACGTAGGAACGACTGAAAACCTTAGAAACAGAGTAACTTTGCATAAGCAGCATATTAGACACGAAGAATATCGACATTTAACTGTCAGTGAACACCTATCTAAATGTAGCAAAGGCAACTTTAACATTATGCCGATCTATAAGTGTATCAACACTAATAGACTAATAAGATAGGCCAAAGATCGAGGAACAAATAATTAGAACACTAGAACCTAATCTTTATGCATGCTAATTTTTATCTTTGTAAATATCACTACTGTAACATAATCACACTAAATAGGAAGTATCATATTACACTATATGTAAGTAAACAAAATAACCACTGTCATCATTTATCACCTGAAGAGCTAAGAGAGCGAAAACGTTTGTGAATAAAGTGATATTAAAAAATACAAAGCAGTGGTTATGTTCGAATAAGATCTTTCTAGTTGACAAGCAACCTTTTTTTATATATACATATATATAATTATTATATATGGCAGCGTATATACACTGTAAAACTATATAGACTGGACGCCTTGTAGTTGAAACGTAATATTTGCTATTTATATTAATTATTGATGTCTTTTTCCTGTTTGAGTGCATATAGATTTATCGAAGTCAATTTTTTAAATATCATGAAGTCAGTAGCTAAGTAAGTTAGTATGTTGCCGGATGACTGCTTATTGCATAAAACTCGAAGTAGCAACTTATTCATTAAAAAACTGTAATGAAACATTAAATTAAATTAAATGCTCTACAGAATTGTCTTGTTTTGAGCACTTTTCGTTAATTCTTGAAGACGAGAATATTACATTTTAATTCACATATAGAGATTTTTTAGTACTAGCAACAATGTTTTCTTTTTGCTGAAGGTATAAAAGAATTTACTTCCTTCCTTTGGTATATCCTACGATACAGCATCTAAATGGCAGCAAAACCTTTTTCAAAGGAAGAATTAAATTTCTTTAAATTTGCATCCATCGTACTCGATGAATTTCCAAAAATGTTACGTTCGACATTTGTGACACTGTGGGACACTAAGATTGCTCCATTGCCAGGTTACCACGAGTGGGACGACACACCCGAAGTGCGACAACTTTTTTTGGCACGCGAAGGGGGCACAAGTAAAATACTAGTCAGTGATTCGTTCGAGAAATGGGACTGTACAGCGTTGTTTCAGGCAACTATTTACTCGAAAAGCTTTGGAATCTTTATGACTTCACCAACCACCAAAAAGACGCCAACCATCACGACACTCAGTGATCAATTTATAAAAGGGAAGAAACCTAGTCCTTTTCATCTCTCCCTGAACAGTCCAACAGGGAACCATAATGAAACGATAGCTTTAGCAATCGACCAAGTTCGCCTGCTCCGAAACACTCTATGTCACTCGTCCGAGTGCAGTATAAAAAGGGGTGATTTCGATAATTATGTTCGACTCGCTAAGGACGCTTTTGATGCTGTTAAATTCTCAACATCTCAAATTGATGATATTGCAATTCTTGAAGAGGAAGACTTTCCGACTGAAAAATTTAATAAATTGAATAAAAAAATTGTGGCTGATCTTCAGGGAAGCAATAAGTTTCTTAAAGAAAAATTAGAAGCAATGATAACAACGCATATTGATGAAAGCAAAGTTTTTCAAGAATCTGTTTTACAAAAACTTGGTAAGATGGAAGTATTACTGGAAGAGTGGAAGAGTACTACGGACCATGATAGTAAGAAAGATAATAAGCCAGGTATTAAAACATTAATTGTCCAAATTTCTCCAACTGCTGCTTGTATATCGCTATAATAATACATCTAGTGACAAACTAATGATCCCCTTTGTAAAATTAAATTCCTTATTACATATTTTTAACCTTGGTCACACCATTTCACTACACTTGCATGCCGGCGACTTGTCCTAATCTATTCTCCGTTTTTCAAACCTATCATTAGTTTTTCAAAATTCCACAGTCTACATAGTAGCTAATATTTCTAACACCGTGGGCTAAATTTTGTATACAATTTATACAAATACTTGAAATGTTAATTCAACGACTGCTTTTAATCCAATATTGACAGTAACTGGGCAGGAGAAACTTTTGGCAATTAATGCCCTGTGTTCCGGATTGAGCAGTGGCGGAGGTGATTTTGTATTCCGTATTACCGCCAAGCATGTGAAAGTAATTACAGATATGAAGATCATCGCTGATGTTACTCTTGGTGAACTTATCGATGCATGGGAGATAATTAACCCAACAGTTTTCCAGAAAGCTACGAAGAGAGGTTTTGGTGATGAACGAGATGAC